TTTATTGGTACCTCACTAACCTCTATACATTTATGCAGGGTTATTTGTAAAACACCAACAACCAACACCAACAACAACATTTATATTATAAATACTTATAATTTTTAAACTATCCATCTTGTGTCATTATTGACAGTAAATACTTTTTAAATCTTGAAATCAAAATAAAATATGACACTTTAGAAAATAAAGGTTTTATTTATTTGCTCTTATGAAAACGCATAAAATAGAATATCAGTCTTTTACTTAAAAACTATAAACTTTATAATATAATGAAACATAAAAATCAACGTTTAAACATAATATCAATTAAGTAATTTGTTATGACATTATCAGACTCATAATATTTCAATCACATAGTATAAATGATTAATCGTAAGATATTACTTTCGGGGTTCTCATCTGACACTTCCATAGACAATCATATACGAACCATAAACAATACAAAATCACTATTTCAACAGTGTCAACGTTTTCTAGAAGGCTGCGTGATTTTGAAGCGACTGAATTGATAACGACACGGACCCTAAACCAAAATATAGAATTTTCTATTTGAGGTATGACGTTCTCATTAAATGATGCAATAGAAATCTTTAGATGACCTATGGTTTCCAAATGCATGGTTGATCGAATTGCAAATATCTTTCTGAAGATAACCGATAAGCTATAAGCTTCATCTCGGTTATTGATTTGTTGCCTATTTTATTTGATTGAAGTTGTTATGACTTTTCTTATACTCATAATTCTTTTATCCGTAATGAGTTTCCTGTTTGAAAGTGGGTAGTTTGTGTTTTTTGTAATAGCTCGAAGCTTATTGCACATACTCCTCAATAAGTGGTTCCGACATTCTATTTCACTTACTACATGATTGGGATACGGCTTTGCAGCGACGATTTTTGAGTAAGTGGAGGAGTCTCCATCTCCTATTATAATAAATTATAAATAATAAATTAGCCTTTATTGCTGTTTAAACTTACATAACATTGACATTGACTTTAATGAACTACCTAATTTTTTATTCTTTTTTAATTAATGTTATCCTACTTATATTTAACTTCGTATATCGACGTTCGGTACAAAAACAGCTTGTCTTTCGACATAGGCCTCCTCCAAAGATTTCCATTTCGCCCTGTCTTTTGCTATTCGGAACCATTCTGGACCAGCCACCTTTTTTATATCGTCCTCCCATCTTTTAGTTTGTCGCCCTTTGTTTCTTTTACCATCTCTTGGGTACCACTCCGTTACAATTTTTGTCCATTTCTCTTGTTTTTCCCTTAACATATGTCCTGTCCATTGCCATTTCAGTGTTCGATATAATGAATTTGCCTGCTTGAATTGTGTTTTGTTTTTAATTTCTGTTAGTCTAACTTTATCTCTTCTCTTGACTTCAATAACACTCCTCTCTATGCTATTTTGGCAGACGTTTATTTTATTTGTTAAGGTTTCTGTTAAAGTCCAAGTTTGACAGCCATATGTTAAACATGGCAGAATGCACATATTATAGACTTTCCTTTTTGCTTTAATTGGCATGTCCCTGTCTTTCATAACTTCACTTAATGACCAGTATCTTTTCCATGTATTGGCTATCCTCCTATCTACTTCCTTATGCATGGTTTTTGTAGGTGATATTAATTGTCCTAGGTATATATATTCATCTACGTATTCTATTTCCTGCATGTTTACCGTGATCTTTTGTGACTTTGAGGAATTAGTCATAATTTTTGTTTTCGTGATGTTCATTGTTAGTCCTGCTACTGCACTCTGGTCTGATAGCTGTTGTAGCATTTGTTGTAATGTCCTAGGACATTCAGAGAACAGTATTAGATCATCTGCAAAACGTAGATTACTTAGATTTTCGCCGTTAATCTTGAGCCCTTGATCTTCCCAATCTAGGTTCCTGAATATCCTCTCCAGTGCTGCCGAAAATAATTTAGGTGAGATAGGGTCGCCTTGACGAACGCCTCGCTCTATAGAGAATTTTTCGCCTAATTTTTCAGATCTGACTTGTGCTGTGCTTTTGGAGTATGTATATATTCTTTAAGGTTCTTATATATCCGTCCTGTATATTTTGCTCTCGCAGAGCTTCCCAGATGTACCCGTGTTCCAGGGAGTCAAAAGCCTTATTATAGTCTACGAATCCTAAGAAGTATATTTTATTATACTCGTTGTATTTTTGTAGGACTTGTCTTAGAACGTGGATGTGATCTATGGTTGAAAATTTACTTCGGAATCCCGCTTGTTCTCTTGGCTGGTTTTCATCGAGTACTCTGGTAATTCTGGACAGAATAATTTTTGAAAAGACTTTATAAATATTCGACATTAAACTGATTGGGCGATAATTTCCAATATCCTCTTTATCTCCTTTCTTGTGTAACAGAATGATCGTTGATTTTGTCCAGTCTTGTGGAATGATTTCGGTTTCTATAATTTCATTAAATAAGTCTGTTAATATTGGAGCAATTATTGGTAAAGTAGATTTGAGTAATTCGTTGGTTATTTGATCGGAACCAGGTGTTTTGTCTACTTTTTGTGTATTTATAGCTTTAGCAGTTTCTTCTTCTAATATTTTTGGTATAGGTTCAGAATTTAATGGATGTTGTTCCTCTGTAGCTATTGTTGGATTCTTGCTTTTATATAATTCTCTATAATAGTCTGTCGCCACCTTTATTATCTCAAGTCTTTTCCTTGTATGTGTTTTATTCTTTGTTTTTACTGTTAGCATCCATTCTTTTTTGTCATTTAATTCTTTAATAGCCTTTTTTACTCCACCAGTTCTTTTAATATGTTTTTCTAATGTTTCCTGTCTTTTGATTTTAGTATCTTTCCTAATGCTTTCATTTATCTTTTTACTGACTTCTGCTATCTTGTTTCTTTCTTTACGGTTACTTTTCTGTAATTGTATCAGTTTTCTCCTTTCTTCAAGTAGCTGTTGAGTTGTTATAGATGTTATTTTTTTATTTGCTTTTCTAGTTTCTATTTTAAGTACGTTTAAAATCTTTCCATATTTTTCCACCAACGCTTTTAAGTTGTTTTTAAGCATCTCACTATTCCCAGTACACATGAGGGCTGAACTATTACTTTGCCATCTCCTGCTCTTTCGTATACGCCTGCCTGTTAATGTAGCACGAACCATTCTGTGATCTGAATTGAAATTCAGGTTCTGTATAATAGAGACGTTTTGAAATATTTTGATGTTATTGGACAAGATAAAGTCTATTTCGTTTTTATAGACACCATTTGGAGAGATCCATGTCCATTTCTTTGTTTTCTTTTTCTTAAAAAAGCTATTGAGAATACTAAGTTTATTTTGGAGAGCAAATGAAACTAGCCCTGCGCCATTCTTAGTTCTTTTACCATGCCCATATTTGCCAATTGTGTGTTCTTCACCTGGGTTATCACATATTCCTATCTGACCATTAAAGTCTCCCATCACTATGATCTGTTTGTGGGCATTTTGAATCGTTTCTTGTAAGTCGAAATAGAATTTTTCTATTTTGGCTATATCTTCTTTATTATTCGATTCCGGTGGCGAATATGCTTGGATTATAGACCATTTTTCTTCTTTGTTGACAGGCAGTGTTATATTAACGATAGCTATTCTTTCAGTTACTCCTTTAATTTCGATAATCCTATCAGTTAGTTCCTTTTTAATTAAGAATCCCACTCCATAGAGACCCGGTGTCTCACCCATGTGGTGTAGAATGTAGTTTCCATAGTCATTTATTGTTTCCCCATATCTTCTCATTTCGCTTATTCCTATTATGTCCCATTTTAATTCTGATATGGCCATTTCAAGCTCTTGAAGTCTCTCTGGTGTCCTTAGTGATCTTGTATTGAATGTTGCTATATGTATATCTGTTGTTTTTTTATTATTCCTTGGAGGGTCTTGGTCTTTTTCCCCCACGAGGACCAGTCGTATTGGGGAAGGGGTGTTTGTTGTTATATATTTTAATTCATTGTTTGGTTTTTGTTTCCGTTCGCCGATAGCTAGTTGTTATTGTTCTTTTCCTGACGAGTGTATGGTGAGAGAATTTGAGCGACCTCTCATCAAATCAAATGCATTAGTTCTGTTGTTCTTTGATGAAAATGACGTTGTCTGTTGCTTTTTCGGTTGAGAGTTTGCGTATGGAGAGGTCGATGATTTTCTTTTCCTTTTTTTGTTAGAGGCTGAATTTTCCTTGATTATTAGTTTGTCGTACTTTAACTAGGCAATATTTCCTTTGTTTCTCTCTTTCTTTAATTGTGCTAGTAAAGCCTTCCTTTTCTCCAGAGTTTCTTTAGAGTAGTCTTCTGTAATAAATAACACCTTCGATTTTTCTTGTTCTTAAATATTTCACTCTTTTTCCATCCATTAGTGAAAGACAAGAGAGTAGGCCTCGGTTTTTCTTTGTTTGTTGTTTTTCCAATGCGGTATATTTGGTTGATGTCATAATCTACCAAAGTAATGTCCAATTCTTCTTGGAATTTTTGCTTCGTAAAATTAATCAGTTCTGTTGCTGATTTTTCACCCTCCTTCAGTCCATATATTATTATGTTGTTGCTTTTCTTGTCTCTTTCGAGATATTCTATTTTACTTTCCAATTTTTCTAGCTGTATCTTTAAATTCCTATTGCTTCTAGTAGTGGTTTTAATTTTTCATCCATTCTTTCCATTATAGAATTGGTTATAGACTCTGTAATGAAACTTAATAGTGGAGATTTTAATTATTCGTTGGCAACACTCAGATCGTGACGTTCTTAGATCTTGACACTGTCAGATCAGTACTGTCAACCTGAGTGTGTAAATATTCGCTAATATGGCGGCTCACCTCCAAGTTCTGTCCTATTTTCTGTCTTTGCATTATTCCTGGTGACAGTAATTACACAACGATGATTATTTCAATCACTTTGTAACACCAACTTAATCACTTAGAATGGATTCGTTTATTAAAACTTCGGTTGTAAGTATTTTTATTTTGAGTTTTGTTTCGGAGCGACACTGTGTGGGTGTTTACGTCAAGACTACCGACCGGAAACCCCATCTCCTATTACGTTCTCATAAATTAGACCATACATTTCAACAGATTTCATGAACCCCTCACAAATTATAGCAGCCTCCATGCCAGATGACGAGCCCTCATAATTTTTATAACATACATGTTGCTTTGGAGTTTCTTTCTTTTTTTCAGCTCTTGCGCATATTAAGCAATATTTGTTTTTTACGCCGATACAGAGAACCTCACCGGATCTTCTTCCAACTATTGCAGCAACTCCTGATAGAGCCCTATAGTTGTTTCCATAGGAGCGAGTACACCAAACACCGTCAACATAAACGTCAATAACTGGTTTGCCATTTTTTGTGGGATTTAGATCGCCTGATGAAACCGAAAAAAACTTCAAAAGTTCGCATTTTAATTTAAAATGTGATATAAAACCGATTCGTTTTTTACCAATTATGGTTATATTACTCAGATTACAGTGAAACAATGAAGCATGTGCTGATTTGCAAGCGTTCAAAAAAATATGTAATGTCCAATAATCTTCGACCCTTATGGGTTTCACTCATAGAATCTTCACATTCTTCTTCTATTATCAATGATTTATCGTTGCTCCTACAACAAAATAAAAAGTATTAGCTTAAGCTATTAGCGTATACTATAAGCGTAAGCTATTAGCGTATACTATAAGCGTAAGCATTTCTCATAGTTAATATTTCTACAGTCTATATGTTGTAACGTTGCATTTTGCATCATTACAGAAAAGTTAATAATCGACGTATTGTTTATTTTGTAGGTTGTTTTGACAGAGGAATTTTCTGATGTTTTAGTAAAGCTCCGAGAGATGGCGTCACAGTCGAGATTTTAGAGACACTACGGGATAAATAAACTGCCTCTTAATCTTATAACATCTCTTTATTTTATAGCTTTCCCCCCACCTTTTTTTTTTTTTTTTTTTTTTTCTGTGCGGACATCCCCTTGGATACCACCTGTCGGTGGCACGCCGGACTCGAACCGACTCAAACCGCACGCCGTCTCGGGTACTAATAGCCGGGGAACCAGGTATACTCTAGAAAGGAAGTAGAGCGAGAGAACTCCCACTCCGATGGCTGGCTCCGAGGTCTCGCCTCTGCTCAATTCACGCCGGGCACTCTGTGTCAGCGTGTGGAGAGCCGTGTCCACGGTCTGGCCATCGCAGGTGATCCCCGAAACATCCTTTCCCAGTGATCACCTGCGTCAGTCGGTATGAGAGGGTCCCGTGACGCCTCTCGAGCCAATCCTCCATAACGGGTCTTACCGCCGCGATGACGGCGTGCCCGGCGCTCGGTTGCCCGAGTCGTTCCCTCCACAGCTTTCCCCCACCCTAGATTAAAAGTCTAAGCGCTGACCGATCTATACCAGGTATTTATTGTATTTATTATTAGTTGTCTATGTTCATTTAAGCCGGCACCTGGCGCCCGAGATTATTGGTTTTGTTAGAATTTGTGGTGCCGGACCAGTTAGTTAATTCATTTGTATTCAACATAGACATTCATTAGTTAAAAACATATTTTTTTATTTTTTTAAATATTACAATGTACATATATGCATATTCATTTAATTTTGTTTATATCTATACTTACGGTATCGTTATCGGCGATACTGTATGCAGCTGCACCAAAGGCGACCTATTTTCATCCATACAGTTCCCAATATATGAACTTTCGCATCTAAAATTAAATTGAAACTGTTAATATTTTTATAATCTATACATATAATAACTTTACAACTCCTGTATATACAAAATTCCAAAACAGCACTGCATGTGCATATTAATTTAATTTAGTTGAGTATATCTATACTTACGATGTCGGTGAAACTGTACGCATCTGCATCAACGACGGCGACTTATTTTTTTCAGTGTGTCTGAAATAAAATTTAAAACATTCATATGTCTACAATAGGCTGTATAAAACGTGAAAATTTTCACTAATATTATAAAAGGAATGAATGGATTTCAATGCAGGTTTACAGATATTCCAAGGAAGATTTATAATAAAGTTTTCCAAAGGAGATAAAAAAGAGAAATCGGGTTTCTAGTAAAAAAATAAAGTGTATCACGTTGTTTTGTTGTCCTTCTGATATTCTTACACTGTGTTTATTTCGCGGCGTCCAAGCACATGCACACAAGATATTCGCTTCTGTATTTACTCATTTATTGACACTGAATAGTCCAAACAAATATATTGTTTCTTTAAAAATTAGATAAAATATAATAACAATAATATTGTAAATACTTACTCATCTGATATTTTTGAAGAAATAAACATGGCTTCGTTATTTTTTTTATTGTGACTCGATCAACTAAAACAGCGAAACATATAATATTACAATAAGAATAATCTTTTTTGAAAACACAAATAATAATAATAATAATAATATTTATTTATTTCTCTCATCACAAAGAACTTATAAATACAGATCAGTCAGATTGGGTACATCATTGCTTTGTGAGAGACTGGTGTCTGCGGTAGGTAAAACCTGTGTTACAGCTCACCAGGCTCACACCTTCTGGACGGAACATAGTTATATTTCTTTAGCATGTACTAGTTTGTAATACATTATACTAGTATAAGTAGACAAACAAGAGAAAAGCAATAAAAAATAGCAAAACGAGATGTGTGTGTGTGTGTGAGTGTGAGTGTGGGTTTGCTTGCGAGTATACGTGTATGTGCGTGTCTGTAAGTGGGTATGTGTTTGTTTGTGTATGTGTACATGATTATGCTAGTGCATGTTATGTATTTGTATAATTCAAACTATAATAAATAAATAAATAGACATGTTTAACTTAGTGGCACAAGTAGGCTTTCTGTATCATCATAGGTTAGGTTTTGTAGCCATGTTGTTAATACTGTTTTTAACTTATATTTATTACAGGAGTATATGCAAAGGATAGCATTAATTTTATTATATAGGTATCGGCCCAAAAAACAATAGAACCTATGAGATAAAGTGGTTTTATGGATTATGTCAGCTTGAAAGATTTTATGTTTTCGACGTTTTTCTGCAACAATTAGGGGATCATAGATAGTTAATGAGTGAGACTTAAGAATAAGACGAAAAATAAAAAGTTGCCGAATTGTAAGGACATCAAACCTTTGGTATAAGTCTCTTGTGGGATACAAAAAAGGTAGGTAAAGTGCTACCTTTAAGACTGCCCTTTGTGCACGTTCCAATTTGATCAAAATGGTTTTGGCTGCACCTCCCCAGGATGTGATGCAATACATCAGTATTGATTGACATAAGGCGAGATATATTATTTTAAGGATCTTTTTATCAAACACTCGTCTCAAGTTTTTAAAAATGAAAATTAGTTTCCTTGTTCTGGAAGTTAATACATTTATGTGAGCTTCGAAGTTTAGGTTTTTATCAATAATGATTCCTAGATATTTAATTGTATCAACCAGTTTTAGTTCTTTACAGGTACATGGGACTGGAATTACATCTCGATTATGACATAGATGTGCAATGATGGGCTGAGGTGTTTCAAAATGTAGTTTTTTATTTTTTAGTTGAAATGTTACGTATTTAGTCTTATCGACGTTCAACGATAGCAAATTGCAGTTAAGCCAATATGTGACTCGATTCATGCCCTTTTGAGCATTCTGATACGTATCCTTCCAGGAATCGCCTTGAAAAATCAGAACGGTGTCGTCTGCAAAAGTGATTATTTTTCCAGTGTTAGGCATATCTAATTGGCAAAGGTCATTAATAAAAACTAGAAACAAGGTCGGTCCGAGGATACTGCCTTGGGGCACGCCTATTTCTATAGGGAGATCATGACTACGTATACCATCAATTTGAACGATCGGTGAGGTAGCTTGCGAAAAGCTGCAGTTGCATGCCACGAACACCCATCCGTTCCAGTTTATTGAGCAGTAGTGGGACAGAGACCGTGTCAAATGCCTTGGCTAAATCTAAAAATATGGCTAGTACTTTTTTCTTTTCGTCCATATTAGAAACTACATGGTTTGTAAGCTCATGCACCGCGTCATCGGTAGACCTGTTCCTGCGAAAGCCAAATTGTGAATTCGAGAGTAACTGTTTTACTTCTCCCTAAACTAAATATATTTTAAAATGAAATAAAAGAAAACTAAATGATTAATTAATCAAAAATAGAATCATACAACTGACTGTACCCTCGATGCTACTCGCCGTGGCCGCGGTCTTGTTATATGTGTTTAACCTTATCTGCGCTTGCGCGCTTCTTCCTCTTTTCTCTGTTTTTCGAGCCACTCACTGGTGCCCGGAACAAATTGAGGACAACTAGACATTCCGTGTGATACGTCACGCCGTCTAATTCGACGGGAACGTCACAGTATGGACACATAGTCGCTGGTTCTCTGGGTTTAGTGAATAACATCGCCTTTATTTCAGACTGCGTTAATTCAGACTCCGAAAATACTGCTGCCAGTACTTTCTTTGGGCCCGCTTTTATGTCGTCACGTTTGCTACCTTTCACGCGTGAGAACAAGTTTAGCTTTGCAGCTGCTGTTTCTCTCGGTTTTCGTGAAAATGATAGCGCGATCAGACTTTGAGTTAAATTATCGTCTAACTCATATGTTGAGATTACTCTCCTTTCCCTTGATGCCAAAATGGCAGGGTGATTTTCGTCTGGATTGACGATCCACAGCCCCGAAGATAATGGGTCGACCCACATCTCTGGTTTGCTGTAGTGGTTGCATATTGCTTGTAGCTGCCTTTCCTTAACTCTCTCCACGATCAAGACGTTCAGGATGGACTCCATCACATCTTTTCGATCGAAGGATTTTGAGTGTCTGGCGACTGCTGACTTGCTTACGCTTTGTATGTGCGCACTTAGCTTTGCTACATCGATTCCGCGTTTGTGCATCAATAGTGATGTGTCACATAGCGTCTTTATAGCGGCTGTTGCGGTTGCGTTTAACACCTTTTGATATTTTGGGATTGCGGAAGTTGTTGGCATCGGCACTTCGAAAACACCATATTCGGTGTTAATCATGGCGACATCCTTCTTCTCAATTCCCGAAATCAGGGCGTCAAACTCATTGGATGACACGGGGGTCGTGTTCAACCGGATATTCAACTTTTTATCATCGTCATAAGCTTCTGCAATTTCGATCAGGTCGGTAAAACCTTTTGATGCTGCTAGAGCCTTCGCTACTCGGGTCTCCAGGCTTTGAAGATAGAGCTGCGGCTCCACATCAGTGGTCTGACTTCCTTCCTCGGTGCATGCTGTGACGTAGATGTCATCGAACGCGAAAAGGCTAGCCTCTTCGTTTGTCCATGAACTTGATAGTTGATTGTTTGTTGGTGTTGGGTTTTCTTGGTTGGGTGTTTGCATTTTCAAAATATTCTCTTTAGCGTTCGGCGTAGAATAAATATACAGTACAGACGTTTATGTATTATTTATCATAATGATTTGCGGGTCAAATAGAAATGAACTTCGTAACCTACCATACGGAACACTTACCGTAGTGCAGCAGTTCTCCTTCCATTGGCCCTCACAGTCTCGAGATGATGGAGTCTCGCACGCTTCCTTTTATATTTTTTGTTACGTTGCGTTAAACGGACGCGCGAGACGCGTCCTGCCTGGAACGCAGCTCCCAGAGCACTGATGTTGACAGCGAATGACAGCGATCGAGAGATGGGGAGGGTGCGCGATCGTAAATTGTAATTTTTGTATATGTATTTTTTTAGTCCATTTTTCTGTAAAGCTCATTACCCCCTACTACCACGGGCCTAACTTTCCCACCCTCGCTTTTCTGCATGATTTTCATGCTTTCACGCCGCGCCTCGCGCAGCTCGTGTTGTATTTCTTTGTCGCTTTTCAGCGCGGCGTCGACTCCTTTGTATCTTCTCGTACGCTTCTCCTTCCCCTCGATCCTTATCATCGTATTTCGTCCCGTACCTGCTTTACCCCGCATCCAAACACCACTAGCAACCCACTGCTCCATGGTGGGGAGCTTGTCCGGCATGGTCCATTCCTCCAACATGAACTTGATGGTCTCGTTCAAGATGTCTTGTACGTACTCCGCTTCGTCTATACGCTCTCCGTTGTGTTTCGTCACCGTGAGCCAGTCATCAACGTCTCCGCGAAGCGCGTTTATGTCAACGGGTGCTACATACCCGCTGAAAGTCTCCCAGTAAGTAAGGAGGCGCCATTCCTTATATATGAACGGCCCCCCTAGTTTGAGCCAACCTGTTGATTCTTTGAGTAGCTTGCGTAAGTTATGCGGGCATATATCCGGGGCCATGGCCCGCAGCCGACATACTCACTAGGTATTAGCCTCGCCCTCCTACCTGGGTGCATCCGAGCCGCCATGTGCAGACCCTCCTCTATGGTGCCACGCGGAAGCGCGCACCCCTCACACTCATGGCTTTTAGGTAGCCGGTATCGCCTGAGATTGCTATTAAATTTCGACATTGGGGCCTCCCAGCCTCTGTCCGAACAACAGGGCTCGAATTGGCTGACCAGTTCTTTCTGTTTCCTCCTGTAGAGGGCAGTAGTCCACTCCCAGTCCGGTATCATGCGCTTGATAGACTCTAGGTCTATTGCGCGTCCTGCGCCGCCAGATGGTCGGCGTTGCGCTCCGCCGCCTCCGCTGAAGCCCCCGGCTTCGTGGTGGGCAGGGTTAGGGCGGCGCCGACATTTACGACGCCCCGACGCCCAGGCGCAGTGGGGACATCGGGCGATGATGTGGGCGCCACGCCCTAAAAATCCGAGGGGTTCGTCTTATCCGTGCCACTCTGACCGCTCTTACCGGGTCTCGCTCGCAGCGACCCGATTGTAAGGCGGGAGTGTAGGTGGGCCGTGGATGTGCCCACCGACGTTGACGCCCTCAAGGGGGCATGCCAACCTTTGCCTTGCGTGAGATACGCTACTTCCAGGTTGGATACCGCTGATACGAAGAGCGTCAACACCGTGTACTCTCCGGTTACAAAATTACGGTAGTGGACCCGTAGACCCCATCCGAAGGGTGGTGCCTGCTGAACAGGGTTCGTCAATGGCCGGAAGCTGCTCACCCACCCACACTGCAGCCCGACAACGGTCATTATGGCGGTATCCACTCTGAATGAGTATATATGCGCCTCCTGGTTGATGGGCTTGACGCACATGCGGATGTCATCAAGGCCCAGCTCCAGGAGGTTTAACCTGTTCATAGCTTTTTCTAGACTGGGGCAGTCCGTTATGTCCAGTCCCTCGTGCCCGACTCAGTTCTCCAGCCAATGGCCGGAGACACCCTTCATATGCTGCATGCGCTCGTTTTCCATGAAGGTGTAACGGCCCCTCTCCGTGACGTCGCTCAAATTTAGAGCTAGGGGGGTCCTTACACCCGTCATGGTGGTCATCACACCTACAGCTTGGGCGTTTGCCTCCCACGAGAGTTGGGCACGACTGGCTATTCCCAATGCGTACTCGCCAATGGCGGATACGGCGTCCGATTCCTCACCGGCACCATACACAATCGTATCCCAAAAGGCTCTGTCGTTGCCCATGAGCTCTGGGCTGACAGCCTGGTCCCCGATCCCCACCCCCCTCTTCCACTCCTCGTAGAGGCGCCGCTTCAGCATTGCGCGCTCTACGTCGTCCAATGCCATTGCGGTACCTTCCTCGCTAGATGCAGCCCCGCGCTCACTGTGGTCGTATGTTGCTATTCCAAGTCCGGTAATAAGCTCAGCCTCGTTCGTCCATGCTCCCACGCGTAACGCGGGGGCCAAGGCCTTGCTCACGAAGACATTATCGGTAAATGTCGTCGCGTGGTCGTGATAGTAGAATACACTTTCGTCCGGCTGGACGACACATTCCGGTAGTCCATGTGTGGCGTACGCCACGTCACAGTATGCAGGGGGGAGCCAATGGGTTTCTGAACCCCCTGCCTCGTCCCTTAGCACCTGGGGCTGCGGTACAAACCGCATTGTCAGCCACGCTACAAGCTCGTCGATAAGAGCCCAGTCGACATTGGGGGCTGTCATTCGGGTGGACAACCACTGGTCCATTGTAACCTTTAACGGTGTCGGGGACCGCAGGACCCTGTCGAGACAGGCCGTCAACATCTCGGCTATAGGTTGTGAAAAGGCCGGTTCTGGGTCCCTGTTCCTGTCGAGTCCCGCGACGTGCATCTCTACACCCGCTATTTGCATAACGGCCTCCCCACTCGCAGTTACTAACAGGAATTTTCGGCGCCGGTTATCAATGGTGACACAGCATTCATTGCGCCTCATAGCCGTGAGCCTACTTTGCTTCAGCCCCCTCTGGCCCTGTTACGACGAACAATTCGTCGACCTCCACTAGTGGGTAGGGGGCCGCCAGCACCAGCTGCAGAGCCCACATGAGTTGCGGGTTGCCCGAGCCGTAGTCAAGAACAACGACAGCCACACTCGGGTCGGTTTACGGAGTGTCACCACCCCTATTCATCCCCTGGGTGTCGTAAAAGCCGACTAAGGGGACAAACTACGCAGGACAACAGCCGCAAAGAGAAGGAAAACTTGACACAAACCCTATACCAATCCGTCTGGCCAGCGTGGTATAGTAGGCCAAAACCTCCTTTTTAAGGAGAGGCCTATATCCAGCAGTGGATTATTCAAGGCTGTTGATGTGTGATGATGTGATGTATTTTTTTAATCGTTTTATTTCTAAATGTAATAGCTGATGTCCCTTGTAATTAAAATTATAAATATTTTGATATAATTTTAATCTAAAGAGATGATTGAATTAAATAGTTATAATTTTTAATTAGTGCAATTTAGAGCAATGTTCGCGATTTTTTTCTATCGAGCCAAAAATCATTAATCGTGTTTTCAATAGCTGTTGACCCTGCAGAAAGGACTTAATATTTCATAGTTAAATTTCTAGAAACCAAATTAAAGTAGTTTAATTATAGCAACTTTTAAAAAAGCGTGTTCCCTGGACTGACCTCACCTTAAAGTATCTACACAAATTATATCAGAAATTATACCTGAAGTCTGCAAAGCTATGAATGAAGTTTTGAAAGATGAAATAAAGGTAAAGTAAAAGATGTAAAAGATTTACAAAAATGTTTTATTTATGAGTTATAATCAATGTTAATATTTATTCACTTGTATACTGTGCAAAATCTTCATATGCCTTCATAAGAGCTGAATTAATGACATTATTTGTGGGTTCTTGGGATTGCTCCTAATCCCAAGAATCCACAAATCCAGCACCTACTGTTAATATAATATCCGATGAAAGAATCATACCTCCAAGGAATAAGGCATATGAAGATTTTGCACAGTATACATAAATACATACATAATACAACACATAAATACATATACATAAATAATTATGTTTTCAAAATGTTGATGTGGTGGTGGTAATGGGGTAGATGGAGGCCGGTTTGATAATATGTATCCACTTGAAGAGTGAGAAGAAGGAACATATTGAGGAGATGGTGTGTCTACTTGACGCTGATGATAGTCTAGAAGAAGAAACATGTTGAGGGGATGATGTATCTCGCGATTTTCGCGAGATAGACCTCTGTTTAATTTTTCTGATAACCAGACCATCTATTTCATACATAATTCACTTCCTCTCGTCGTTAGGAAGTTCCCTGATCTTTTTAGCCAGAAGCTTCCCATATAAATCACATTCGTCTTCGATATGTGAAGGATTTGATTGACGCTTCCTTAGTGCATTTGTTAACTGGCTAAACGCTGTGGACATTTGTTGTTCAGCTAAGTCTGATGTAGGTCGACGACGAGATTTGTCTGTGCTTTTTTGTGTAACTGGGGCAGAGACAGCAGCCGCAGAAGTCGAGGGACCCATCAAGCTGTTATTATTTTCCGTATCTCCAGTTTCATCAATCGATTCATCAATAGTTGTTTCTGATGATCTTGATTGCTGTAAAAATTGAAATTGAAAGCTGAAAAATCAATGTCACAAAAAAAAAATTGTAATTGTAAAATATTGTTCATTTCATCAGTGGAAGATTGGATCAATATAGAAAGAGGATACAGAAATAAATTTCCACATTGTGTAGGTTCGATGGATGGCAAACATATACACTCGGTTCCAAAAATTACGGGTCAGTCACAAAAATTTAAATACCTCCAGAACTGTAAAAGTTAGATCAATGAAATAAAAGCAGAATAAAGACTTTTTAGTTGCGCTTCTAATACCATATTATTTAAAGAAAAAAACTTCATTAGAAAAACAAAATTAAAAAAAATGACTATTTTAAAAAACAAAATTTTTGCTTCATTTTATTATGGATGCTTTCCATTTCTATTCTGTCACAAAAAAAAATATCGTGAACGTCTTCCACGTGCATAATTATTATTCTGTGAGGTGAAGCATGGCAGTCACGCTAGAGGAATGTACCAAAATCCTAACTTTTTTGGAACTTGGGCGGAGCCAGCGTGAAACAGCCAGAAACATTGGTGTATCTTTGTCGACTGTTCAGCGGGTAGTCCAGCGGTACTAAGAGACCGGATCACACCTTAGAAGACCAGGAAATGGCAGACCAAGATGCCCAACGGCCAGGGAAGACAGACAACTGGTGGCTACAATGCTCCGAAATCAATTTCAAACTGCTGTTGGTCTAAAAACTCACTTTATTCGCTTTGGAGGTGGCAATTTAAGCGCTCAAACAGTAAGAAGACGTCTTGCTGAAGCAAATTTGAAACCATTGAGGCCCGCAAATGGCCCCAAACTGGAAAGGGTACATCGAATTGCAAGACAGAGATACGTGCGCGAGCACCTAAACTGGACACTAGACAATTGGTCTAGGGTAATGTTCACGGACGAGTCTAAATTCATGCTTTACAAGCATGATGGTAGGCAGTTGGTGTACAGAAGACCAGGGGAGCGCTTCCATCAAGCGTGTGTGGAGGAAAAAGTGGCGTACGGTGGAGGCTCCGTACAAGTTTGGGCTGGGATTTCTACTGAGGCCCGCACCGAGCTGGTACTCATTCCAAATGGAACTCTAAATGCAGAGAGGTACGTGGAAGAGATCCTCAATGAACATGTAGGTCCTTTCATGGCCAGGATGGACCGGCATGGCATATTAATTCATGATAATGCGCGTCCCCATACCGCCAGAATTGTACATGACTACCTTGAAGAGGTCGGTATTGAACTCATGCAGTGGCCACCGCGAAGCCCTGACTTAAACCCCATCGAGCACGCCTGGGACGAGCTTCAGAGATGCGTGAAAGGTCGAAACTCTCCACCAATCACGCTTCCCGAGCTCAAACAAGCACTGGTGGAGGAATGGGAAGGTATTCCTCAGCACCGGCTCCGAAATTTGGTGTACAGCATGCCTAATCGCCTGGAAGCTGTCAGAAGAGCTCGTGGAGGCAATACAAAGTATTAAATGAAGAAAGTGATGAAAAACAGCAAAAAAACAATCATAAAAAAATGTAATCTTAAGAAAAATATGACTACTTTAGTTTTTTTTTTTAATTTAGAGATAAGTTATGAGTTAGAGAGTTTAGATTTAAGTTTTATTTTATTTTTTATCTGTATAATTAAATTCTCAATTGAACAGTCTTCGTTTCATTAGGATGGCATACGTAGTTCGGGAGATATTCGGGTTTATGTGACTGACCCGTTATATTTGGAACCGAGTTTAGTTATAGAGAGCCTACCCCATAGAGGAAGTGAATACTTTAACTACAAGAAGACTTTCAGTATAGTTCTTTTGGCACTAGTCGACAGCAATTATAAATTTACAATCTTTGACATAGGAAGTCAAGGAAGAATCAGTGATGGTGGTGTTTTTAACAATTCACTATTATGGCAAAAAAAAAAACAGAAACGAAATGAATTTTCCCGCGCCATGTCCACTTCCTGCAACGAATAATAACGTGAGCGTGCCATACGTGTTTTTAGCAGATGGTGCTTTTGCTCTCAGTACGCATGTTATGAAGCCTTACCCCGGAAACCATGAGATTGGATCCCCAAAAAGGATATTTAATCAAAATTTAAGTAGAGCCCGAGTTACACTGGAGAATACATTTGGCATTTTATCTTCAGTTTTTAGAATTTTTCGAAGACCTATTAATTTGAAACTTGAAACAGTAAAAGAAATTACTATGACCTGTGTACTACTTCATAACTATCTTAGAAAAAAGTATTACTTCTTCAGAAATGTATACTCCTCCAGGGATATTGGATGTATATGATGATGATGGTAATCTTTTAACACCTGGTTCATGGCGAAATATAAATGGATACAATGGCATACAAAATCTTCCACGTGTATCTCGAAGACCACCACTTAATCTTTACGATTTGCTTGCGACTTTTAAGATAGTCTTTGAAAATATTAAGGGCCACGCCCCGTACTCCCAAACGCTCCAATTTAGTTATAAGTAAGGGAACGGAAACTGTGTCAAATGCCTTGGAGAAGTCCACTAATATTCCCAAACATTTAATATTACGGTCCATGTTTTGCGCTACAAATTGTGTCAAGTCCAGTACTGCATCTTCTGTGGAAACTCCTGGCCTGAATCCATATTGGTTGTCAGCTATGACCTTAAAGTTGTTTAAATATGACCTTAGACGTTTGTTCAGCATGTTTTCCAGAATTTTGGAGAGACAGGGCAGTACTGATATGGGTCTGTAGTTATAGATGGGATGAATTAGAGCCTTTTTAAATACATCCGCAAAGACGCCAGACTCCAAGCACCTATTGTAGACGTGACAGAGTGGGGGAACCAGGATGCCACAGTTTTGTTTTAACACTAAGGATGGTATCCCACCCCAGCCTATCGCACTGTCCGTCCGTAGCTGTAGGATACATGATTCTACCTCTGCCTCATCAGCCGCCAATAAAGCGAGGGAATTGATGGATGACTGCATGGAATTGGTTATTTCCGGTGTAGTTGTTTGGTCGCGAGTATCGTTTGACGATATTAATTGTGCCGCCATGTTCTGGCCTATAGTACTAAAATAGTGACAAACCTCATTTATGGATATCTTGTGATCTTCGTTAGTTCTAAGCAAATCAGATGAACTCGTGTATTGAGCATGTTTAAGCTTATGTAGTAAGCCGTTACAAAAGTTACGGTAACGGGTATAGGTCACTTTTAGTACTATGTTATCAGGAGATTTCCTAGATTTGATGTGCATCCTGTCACTAACACATCTCAGTAGTCCAGTCGTCATCCAAGGCTTAATCATTCTTAGCCTTTTTGGAATATTAACTTGCTTTGTATTCTTAGCTATAATAGATGAAATTTTTTTCGTAATTAAATTTGCAGATTTGTTAGCATCCGATAAAGTGTAGATGTCGGTAAAGTCTGTACTTTCTAATTATAGTTTAATTGCTTCGTAGTTTAGTTTAGAGATAGTGTTTTTAGTTTCGTGTATTGATTACACGAACGAAGACGATTCTTGAAAAATCATTAATTTCCATATAAGCGCTAGCATCGTTTGTAGATTCTTCATTGGTCTCTACAGCAATTTCTACTGGTGCTTCTTCTACTCTTATGATATCCTCTTCATTAATTATAACGTTTTGATCGATAGTGACATCTTTGTACAGTGGATTATTTGCAACTAACCAATAGAATGCATCATAAACTGTTTGTCTAGATATTGAAAACTGTCGTGTTACGTTAATATTTTCAAAACGCTCAACAATGAATGCATAACAACAATTATTCCGGTATTGTTTGTGGTTCTTGGCAACATTTTCGGAAGGTTTTCAGTACCTTCGAAAATATCTTGAGCGAACAATACCGCTTGGCCTCGAAAACTGTATTGCCCAAATACGCCACTTAATTTGATGATCTTAACAAATGGAATAATACGTGAAATCAACCTTTGTTCAGCTTGTGATAACACCGCAATCACCTCTGGAATAGAGCCTGGATCCAAATTATTCCAATAAGATTTAGATGGTGCAATATTTTTCTTCGAACTCAAATGTGCTTTGCAACGGTTGCAAACAACTAAACAATTTTTCTGTTTTAATTCGTTAGGCAAATATAGTGCAGTTGCTGTATGTACAATCCATTTGGATATTTGATGTTGATAGCACCGTTTGGTGCAAACTTCACGTTTTGTGATAAGATATCACAAAACGTGTTAATTGACTGCATAAAGCCCGTTACACTGACTCTACTTAATCTTCTGACTTCAACATGTCGCTGTCGCATTTGTTGCAAGCGGACTTCTATAGCTTGGTCTGATTCTGAGGCTCGGATCTCAGCCATGGAATCACGCACTTGCTGCAAACGAGCTGCTCTGACTTGGTCTTATAAATTAACACGTTCCCAGCGGCACTGATTTATCTGTACTTTCCATTACTGCGTTACGAGGCGTTTGAAACCTCGTTCTGAACCAGAGGTTGTAGCGGCACGAGGCTTAATAAACCCCACCGCCCACAGGAGACAAAAATCCTATTTTGGCGCCAAATAAGGCGAATTGTATGGTTTTTGTTCGCGATTATTATTATCAATGAGTTGATTAACCTAAATCTGCCGCCGCCTGTGGGCTGATTATTTAGTTTAGATTCTATAGGTAAAATAAAATGTGGGGTCTTATGTACCCCATACCGCACTGAAAAAGGGCAGTTTTTCATATTGTTTAGTGATGGGAAAAAAAATATCGATTTCATTTAATTGTACTTATGGATGGTTTTTATTGAAACAGGTCAAACAATAATATTTTTTGCAACCGATACATTCTGTGAGAATTTTCTTTGCTTTCTTATCAGCCTCACGACTTGATAAGAAGGTGCGAAGTTTTTCGTAGCATCCTACACATCTCCTCTTCCTTGATCTTTTTTCGAGATGATGTGGTTTGTTTGGAGTGGGTTCTGAAAATAAAAAAACTGATTGTGTATATTTGAAGTGGGTTGATTAGGTGTAGCGATTTATTGGAGCAGTTCTATACCTAAGTATGGGATCGTTACGGCCGGTGTGTGTTTTGCTTTTGTCGGTTGACGTGAACGTTTGACAGGATTCAGTCGGGTGATAGTACGCTAACGTCGACTATGTCTATTTGGACTCGCTGCTTTGGCTATAACCTCATGCGCATTGACCAAAGCGTCGGGTTCAAATATACATGTGATGACGTCAGCGGAGCTGTCGCCTTACTGAAGCCCGTCAAAAGTACCGCGTCAATTAATACACATCCTCCGTGCCGCTCTCATACCTAAGGAACTGCCGCAGTTAATCGCTATACCTGTAGTTCAAAAGCCTTATTAATAAAGGACTTATTTGTGTAAATGCATGATAAATAGTTACAAAACTTTATATAAAATGATCAGTTATTTTAATTGTGAAAATTATTTAATTTAATTTAATTATTTAATGATCAGTTGCATAATTCATTCAATAAACAAACAGACTAATTGATCATCATCAGCCTATTTAAAAAAGTCACTCAACAAATCACATTCACATTTCCATTAACGAAATAACAAGTAGTTACGATGTCTGAAAATTACCTGTATCGACATCCAAGTCGTTCTTTGTAAAAGCTTCAATAAGTTGTTCTACAAATTGTCTTTTTGGCAATTTATTTGCATCATCATTAATTGAGTTATACACAATCCAGGCATTAATAAGGGCTGTACCAAATATTAGCTCCATTATTACCTTCCTCCACCACTTAATTCCTTTCTTTAATGTTGTATAATAAGAAGACATTTGGTCACTATAGTCAATTCCTTTTTTTGTTTTATAATTATATATATATTTATTATAACACATCCTGGTTTTTTAATGCATTCGTTAGTGCCTCTCTTCTTTTTTCCAGTATCTATTAGTTTGTCGTCGTGATCTTTGCACGTAGTTAACATTAAAACATTTCTTTTATCTACCCATTTCAATACTTTTACGCCCTTTTTGTTCATTTTTCCAATAATCTGGCCCTTCTTTATATTCGCATTAACAACTTTCTTTTGCAAATATTTTCTTCGTACGTTTAAAGTTCCACATACAAAAGTTTTTTGTGATAGGAGTTTTTCTGCTAGAGTCACCGAAGTATAGAAATTATCTACTATCACGATTCTTCCCTGTTCAATTAAATTGTTCATCAATCTTAATACTACTTTTTGACTGTGATCAACTTCTTTCTTCTGATCTGTTTTACCTGTGTAAATCTCTATCTGGTAGGTATAACCTTCAGGGGTGCAAAGCTTGTACAGCTTAACACCATATCGGTGAGATTTGTTTTTTATATATTGACGGAAGCCTAATCGTCCTCTCCAGGGTATCATTGTCTCATCAATTACTACGTATTTGCCGGGGTTTAATATGTTCTGAAAATTGACAGTTATCATAGAAAGCATATCTCTGATTTTATATAGTTTGTCAGTTTTATCATCATTTGAGACATCACTGACATGCCAGCATTTTAATAAGAGTAAAAATCTGTCTCTTGTCATTGCTGAACTTATAAATTCGTTTCTGTATAAATTGTTTTTGCTCCAATACAAATTTATAAGAGGAACTTTACACAAACCCATTGCCATCACAACTGCCAGAAATGTTTTCATTTCCTGCAAATTAGTATCAGTCCAGTGTTTCATACGTGATTTACGTTTCATATTTAGTTGGTTTGTTCGTAAATAGTTTCGTGCATAATTGTTTGTCTCAGACACCATTTTATTGATCATCTCTTCTGTTACAAATAATTTATATACATCTTCAGATGATTTTACAAACGACGGTATATTGTAGGTATTTTCACCAACAAATTCATCAAAATTTACGGGACTTTCTGATATGTCTATCCACTCGTCATCATCGTTCTTGTTAATTTGGCGGCTGGGTAATGCCTCTTCTTCGTCTAAAGTATCGTTTTCTGTATTTTCACTTTCATCTGAAGATATATAATAATAATATATATATAATAATATATCTCACACACACACACGGCCGTCTGATCCCAAACTAGGCAGAGCCTGTGCTATGGTAACCAGACCGCTGATAAACATACTTATATATTTCTAAATACATACATATTATAGATAAATTACACCCAGACACAGAACAAATGACCGTGCTCATCACACAATATTTGTCCTGGGTGGGAATCGAACCCACGACCTCCGGTTTAGCAGTCAGGGTCACTAACCACTAGACCAACAGGCCCGTCAAAAGATAATTCCTGTTCTGTTCCTATGCAACCCTCTAATGAAATAATATCAGATTCTTCCGACTCGCTTGAATCATTATCATGTCTGTCACTAAAATTTTGGATATTATTACAATTATTTGCATCAGGTGATTTTAGAATATCCGGTAAATTATCACGAGTTCTGTTTTCAATTATTGTCTCGTTGTCGCTATTCAAATGTTCAGTTCTATCATAGTCAATGGAATCAGGCAATTTCAGTACAGTTGACAATTTATTAACCCTGTTTTGTTTTTTTCGATCAATATCCTTCGAAACATCCTCAACAATCACAGTAACCTCTATTGCTTTTTTTTCTTTACAATTGGACAAATTCGAGTCATTAGAAACTGCACATTCGGATATAAAATTTTGACTTGATCTCTTTTGTTCCGGTGTTTGTTCATGTAGTAATTTCTTAATGTTTTCCTCATTAAGAGATAAATCGCAATCTAGTAAATTGGAGCATGAAATTTCTGATAAAGAACTAGTTCTGCTCTCAGAATTCAAATGAGGAAAGTCCATTGAAAGTGAACAAAAAGAGGAAAGATTTTTGTTTTTTCTTATCTGTTGTCTTGGGGTGGTTGGGGACGCTAGAACAGGGAATGGTAACATTTTGTAATACTTGACAGGATTTTCCGGTACTAGGACTCAAATAAATTGTTTCTTCTAGTTCATTGGTTTCAACAGGGTTCCTTTCATCGTTATTTTTGGCATATTCAACTCCTATTTTTGCTTTGTTATATAATTTGCCTGTACTTGTAATAATGAAAAAGTTTGCATGTTTATTCGTGATCAGTTTTTGTTTCCGAATATCAGTTTGTTTAATTTCTTCAAAAATATTTACTTTTTGTGGCGATCCAGATTCTTTTGGAAGATAAGAAGTTTTGTTTTCTTCTATTTGAAGAGAGTCAGAATTTTTAAGACGTTTTATTGGAAAAATCTCTTCATCACTAGAATCTTCGATAGAAGGTTTACTTGCCCAAGTTGGCTTGGTATTACTATTTGGTGGACTCTGAAAATCAATAGATGTTATTTAATAGTATTAATAGTATTTTACATATGGTACAGGCCGTAGCTCGCTGTTTATTGAGTGTACCGATCAAAACGCAACGTAATAATATTCAGGGATTCAATGACTTGCGCCCTAGTTACAGAAAATATCAACAGATAATTTAAATATATTTCAAAGCAAATAAAATAGGCAAGAATCTAAAGAAGGCAATCTGGCATTCAAATGAATTAAAATTATCAATAAATAAGCACAAAATGGTGAAAGCTTACTTGTATTGCAGTAACTAGTATATAACTTATATGTAATAAAGGTATTTACTATGATAAGTTTTGTTTATAAAGTGAAGATTTGTTTAAAAAATGTCGACAATAACCCTAATTTTACTATTTTTGAAAGAAATCCCAGATATCAATTATTATATGAAAACTATCATTTAGTTCGGTACAATTTTTATTAAGCTGCTAGCGAAAGGCTTCTGAAAAACGTGTTTTGTTAGTAGTAAATATTAAGCTTATATTATATTTTCGAGGCTCAAAATAATTATTAATGAATATTTGCAGTTTTAACAAAACCGAATCAAGCATGGTATTCACATACATAATTATTAGAATTGCCATCTAAATTAGCCTTTTTCCTCTGAAGACTTAAAAAAGATCCGCCAGAGGCAGCACTAGTGGGGGGGGTACATATGTTTTGAATTTGCTATTGACAGTAACGTTAAACGTAGATTGCATAAATGGAATTAACGGAAGATGATGTACCTGGAGCAAAATTTAAATTTGCAAAAATCAAAGATCATCTCGTCCGGGATTTGAGACGATGGCTTGCATGCCGTGGTTTACCTGTTAAAATTTTAAACCCTCTTGCTTGTATCGACTGTCAGAAGTGCAATTCGCGAAAGCACAATGTTTGGTAGGCATGGTGATTTAGTTTTTAATATTTTTTATTAACTTTATTAATTTATTTATTTTAACGATAAGACATGCGTTTAACGTTACTGTTAATAGCAAATTCAAAACATATGTACCCCCCCACTAGTGCTGCCTCTGGCGGATCTTTTTTAAGCCTTCAGAGGAAAAAGGGTAATTGCCAACGCGGCATAGAAAATCGGAATTCTTTCGGACACCTTTTGAAATTGCCGCCAGGATGGAACGCTTTCCAAACCAGGATAGGTACAGGGAACCCCGGACTGATGGCAGACCTTATCATTAATTATGTATTTATTTATTTATCATCCAGGTTTTTACATGCAACTGGTTTTTATGACATTATTTTGTGGTTTATTTCATACAAAATTGAAATAAATTATTTTGTAGGTGCATTGGTGTTAATCTTAAGCTTTTCATACAAACGCCAAAAAATATAGCATAGTTAAATCGGAAGCACCACTCCAACTATACAATACGTACTTACAGATCCGATAAATATTGTAATCCTTTATGCTAAATCGCTAAAAACAAAATACAAATATAGTATTATTAGCTGTAAGGATTTCAAAACTCAATATATGATAAAATTCACTTAAAACCCTTAAACAAAGAGGTTGACTAGTAAAACTATGGACAACTGTAGGTATTAATAAATTGTAGGTATCGATCCTTAATGGTTCGTAATCGCAGTATTAATATTATTGTATAGTAACGACTGTCACTAAGTACCTAGCTACTTATTTCCACTAGCAAGCCTGACGTAACATAAAGATTCACAAACACGTACTCGGCTAGCCTAGTGACAAGTACTTTATAAACATATCAATTATGTTACATAACATAAAATAGTCTCACGCCTGTATCCCCGAAGGGGTAGGTAGAGGTGTATTATAGATACATCCTCATTACGCCAACTATGTTTGTCCCACGTAATAGGTGGCGAGCCTATTGCCGTTTACTGGGCACGTATTTACCAGTCTCCGTGCTGCTACTAGGAATTTCCTTACAGAAAAACCCAATAACACTTTGCCCGACCCGGGAATCGAACCCGGGACCTCAGGCACAGCAGTTGCATACACTTCCACTGCGCCACCGAGGCATATCAAAATACTTAACACAAGGAACAAGGATAGAAAGCGTTATTATATTGTAATCCCTAACTATACATACAATACATTACAGTGTATAATTTATAATATTATATATTGTATTTATACACCATATTTTAAATATACATAGCTGTAATTTATTTATTATATTCCTACATAATTATTTCTCTTAGACTGAGTATAATTTGTAAATATTGATTGGAAACTTACCTGTTTTTCAAATATCGGTAATTTTGAATTAGATTTACCACCCAATTCCTCTTCATCATCAATAATATTATTTATTAACTTTCTTCGACAACGTTTCGACATCTTATTACATATATCGTCGCGGGCGCAGCGTTCAACGTTTTGCACAACACTAACCGCGTGAAGCTAGCGTAGGGTGCGGTACGAGGTGTGCAGGGGTACGAGGTGGTCGCAACCTCGTAACGCACTGTATTAAACTTTTATTTATTCAGTGCGGTACGAGGCCTAAAAACCCGGTATTAAGGTAGGTATACCAAAAAACTCGGCATCAATAGCACATCTCAGATATATAGTTATCTCTTTCCTAGACTGAACCAGACGGAAGTTACGCCTCTCGCACGACAGAGAAGTTTAAGTTTTTCCTTACCGCTATAAAGACGAGACACGGACGAGGTGTTTTAAGCCTCGTTTCGCACTCAACGTGTTAAACAACGTTTCTCTGTGAGACCGATGGCGAGAGTGATTTTATTCCAGAACATTCATGTCATACAATCGTACAATAGTAACTACTTAGTAACATAATAGATGGCATTACTGGTATTTTGATATAATACTAACACCCCCACTTATCAAAATAACATAGATGCCCACAATATTTTACCCAAAAAACTTTAAATTAAACAAAATAATTATATTGCTTTTACATCCTGTATTTCTAATAACTGCAAAAAATAATAATGCTTGGTTTTACCCAAACCTTTAGTGAACAAGTCTGCTCTCATTCCAGCTGTTTCCAAATATCTTAGTTAAATAATTTTATCAGCGATACAGTCTTTACAAAAATGGTTGCGAATATCAATATGCTTGGTTCTCTTATTAAAACTACTACCTGAAGACAGCCTAAGTGCACCCTGGTTATCATTAAATATTGTTATTGTATAGGACTCATTAATGATTTCCTTTGACAAATTATGCAAATAAATTGCTTCCCTGCAAGCATCTGCTATGCCCATATATCGTTTTATCTACGGTATGCGTTGATTGAAACCCAATCTTCAATGTGTCAAAACATCACATGTTGTTGTGTTCCACGAAAATGGACTTTAAGGCACTTGTTAAAAAGACTTATTTTGAATGATTGCGTCAAATTATCTTATGTTTAACATACGACATTTTAACAGCTTAGATTTTTTGACGTTTTGACGCAGTAACCGTTAAATTTTAAGAATGCATTAAACAGTGCTTAAAACAAGAGAAAAAGAAGGGTCAGCATTCTCACTACAATGAAGAGACATAGCAGAGGAAGAAATCTACTCCAAAGAGCACTCAATTTATCAGGTATCAGTGATAACAATATGCTGCAAGGTAATCTTGATGTTGAAGTCGATTTATATGATCAAGATGAAACAATGTTTGCCTGTACACAGGAAGCAAATATTATAAAAAAATCATACAATTACTGCACGTGACTTTGAATCTGATTTTGTTATGCCTTGTAATCCTACCACATCTATTGCAATAGCCAACCTACCACCCCAAGAACAAGATATTAATGAAGATAAAAAAATGAAAAATGTAGTTCATGAGACCATAGCTGTTATCGAGAAATCACCTTGTTCCAGTCAATCTACTTTAAATCCACGTTTTTTAGATGAAACAATACACCCAGTTCTGAATAACATAGTCACCTCATCCAACTCAAAAGGGCCTACAATGACACTAGAATCTGGCTTCGAATTTGATGAACCTATGGGGGGAAATATTCAAATCGCAGCTTGTTCCAGCCCATCTCCTTTAATTTCGACATCTATTTTTCTAGACGAAAAGACTGGAGAATTTCGGAATCACGACCTAAACGAAACTTCCAGCTTAATATCTGAAACTATGCAACAAGATTTAGAATTTAATTGTAGTGATAATGAACAAAAAAAAATGAAGGAAAACTTGAAACAAACCCTATACCAACCCGTCTGGCCAGCGTGGTATAGTAGGCCAAAACCTCCTTCCTAAGGAGAGGCCTATGTCCAGCAGTGGACTAGTAAAGGCTGTTGATGATGATGATGATGATGATGATAATGAACAAGACTGTGACTATGAACCGGATCTAGAGGAATCTTCCACAGATTGTGACTCTAATTCTGAAAACATTTCACAAACACAAACAAAAAAAAGACGTGGTATCAGAAGACACAATGGGACAGAAATCGACAAAAGTTGAGACGAATGCAAGGCAAAACATACAAAGGGTTAAAAAGCAAGCAGGTAAATGGACACAAACAAATTTAAGACCTGGTAGAGAAATGAAGGATGCTTGTAACTGTAAATCCGCCAAATTTGATTGTAGGAAGTTAACAGAAGAAGCAAGAAAACATCTTCACAGCAACTTTTGGAAAAATTTAAATTGGGAACAAAGAAAAGTTTATATAGCAAGTTTAGTTACCAAAGTGCCACCAACATCTAGAAGGCCAATTAATGACAGCTCCCGTAGAAATATTACTTTGAATTACTAATTACTAATTATTACTTACGGGTTGATGAGACAAAATTTCGTGTCTGCAAACAAATGTTTCTAAACACGTTTGATTAAGGTGAAAAGAGCGTAAGAATGTGGGCGTTGAGTAACCAAAGTGGAATTCCTAACCTAGCGGAACCACGTCCATTACAAACTCAGACTGAACGTCAACATCATTTTGAATCTTTCCTAGATGCTTTGCCAAAAATGGAATCGCACTACTGTCGTGCTAATTTTACAAGGACTTATCTGGAACCAAATTGGTCAACCCTGACAGAACTTTACAGTTTTTACCAAAAACAAGCAGCTGAAGACAATACTAAACACTTCTCATGGACCCACTTTTCACAAGAATTAAAGAAAAGAAATATGACTTTGTTTCAAAACCGTAAAGATCAGTGTGATACATGTTTTGCATTTACTCAATCCAGAGTGGATCAGAGTTCATACGATTCACCCATTTTGAGGAAGACCATGGGGAGACAAGAAAAATCAAATGATAAAAGACTTGCGGAATTGGATAATACGATGAAAGTATATTGTAAAACTAAATGTATCCAAAGCATATTACAAGATCAAACTAAAACTTCATAATTTTACTTCATACTATATTGTGACGCGACATGGTAGATGCTACTTGTGGGATGAAGTCAATGCTGGGCTAGAAGCAGAAGCTTTTGCATCTCTTTATAGTGACCTAATAAATACAGAATTTCAAAGATCCGAAATCAATTTGACTAAGATAGTGTTATGGTCCGATGGCTGTTGCTATCAAAATCGAAACCAAGTAGTTGCGAATGCAATTTTGCACTGTGCTGTTACACTTGGAATAGGTATTGAGCACAAGTATTTGGAACATCGGCATACTTTCATGGAGGTAGATTCAGAGCACAGTGTGATTGAGAGAAAAATACAGAAAAAAGATTCTATTTTCATTCCTGCTGAGTATGTCAGCATAATTGAATCAGCTAAAAAAAAATCCAGGGCCATACGATACGTACCAGGGACTTCCTTTCTAGGGTATACCTGGTTCCCCGGCTATTAGTACCCGAGACGGCGTGCGGTTTTAGTCGATTCGAGTCCGACATGCCACGGTGGTATCCGAGGGGATTTCCGCACGGAAAAAAAAAAAAAAAAAGGGCCATACGATACGATACGTGGCTGTTTTATTTAATTTTTTTATTAAAAATTTTGTTTGTTTATTGTTATTTACAAAGTTTTTGGTTGTTTCAAACAGTTTGCAATTTGAAATTTATGTTACTATTAAAATTAGGAATAATAGTATTAAAAACTTTTGAAAACGATTGTTTTAGATGTTTTGAACTTTTGTAGATGAGGCTGATTATTAAAATTAAGCAATGCGACTGGAAGTAATTAATAGAGATAAGTAGTAGTTTATAAGTTTAATTCGAAATAAGTTACATTTAATTTTATATCTGGATGATTATTTTTTAAGAATTGTAATATATTACAAAAGAAAACCTTGTTTTTATTTTAATTTTTAAAGCTATCAAAACGCCTTTTATCCAAAAGTATCAGTCAAAATGCCGTAAAGACAATCAAAATGTCGTATGTGTCTTGTCCAAAAAAAAAAAAAAATACGCAAAAGGTCGTATGCTCACGAATCTCCATGTTTTAGTTAAAATCCGTTTTTCAAGATATTATTATTAAATAGACAAAGAAAAATTAAGCATTTTTCATTAAAAAAGTATTAAATTTATATAATGTATTATGTATAAAACAGTTTTTTGTGTTTCCTGAAACTAGGCATCCAAACATATGACATTTTGGTATAACAGCGACGATATTCAGATTCTGTGCTTGAGAGAGCAACTGTTTTCTGTTTCTTAGCCTCCCATGACACGATACTACCAGCTAATTTGAAACACATACCTGTGTAAGACCGCCTGTCAATAATATTGTTTTCCCAATCTGCATCAACATACCCTTCTAATTTATCATTACCACATCTAGTATATTTTAACCCATAATATGTAGTTTTTTTTAATATTTTAAAATTCTTTTTGCATAAGCCCTAGTTACATTATCATAACAATTGCTAAATTGACTAAGGAAACTTACTGAATATGCTATATCAGTTGACCTACCACGAACTCTTAAAACAGGCCAATTTTAGTCGAGAATTGAACGGTCGCTTTATTTTGTACCATAAACGCGATGATAAGCAGGCGAGTCAGCGATCTCAGGTCAGTGGTCACGTGATTAAGATTTCAACGGCTTGGCGTTACCATGAAGTGATGTTTGACAGTTGAATATACGAAAACTAAACTGCCGTGCCGTCATATTTCGCAGGCGTAAAATAGTAACTTTTATTGAACTGTTTTGAGTGATTTTGAATTAAAAATGTAAGTGATTGTTAATTTGTGCTTAGAATATTCAAGCTACATCATTAAAGACTTTTCTCAGAACAAAATTTCATTATATTTTCCGTTATCTTAGATGTGTGATGAAGACGAATTATTTGAGTTTTTAGAAGATGATTTCAATAACGCTAAAAAGAAAGTAAGTGACAAAATTAATAGGAATGCCATCCGAAATTTGATCAAACCATTCGAATTGCAAGACGGAATATTTATACAGCGATATAGGCTAACGAAAGAGTGTGTACTTGAGCTGTGTAATGAGATGAGACCGTTTATGACACAACCTACGAAGTCCACAGATTTGAGTGTAGAAGTCAAGGTTTGTAAATATGAAGTATTAAAAGGACTTAAATTAACAATATAAGGGAAGCTTAATATTCTAAATGTATTAATTCAGGTTTTGATCGCGTTGTCATATTATGCGACTGGATCGTACCAAAGACCAACTGGGGACATAGCTGCACATTCTGTTGCCCAACAAACAGTTTCCTTCCTTCCTTAATCTTCCACATTTCCGACTGAAATATATAAAATTTCCAAATAGTGATAATGAACGTAGAGCTACTATAGTTGGGTGAGTACAATTTACTTCTGTAGGTTTGTTTACATAATAGTCTGGTATGACTTATCAACAATTATATTTCAGATTTTATAAAAATAATCATATGCCTGGAGTATTAGGATGCATTGATCGGACACATGTTGCAATAAAACGGCCAGTGGAACACGAAGAACGTTTTTACTGTAGAAAACAGTGTCATTCTTTGAATGTACAATTGGTATGTGCCTTGCCTTAATTAATATGCTCGACTGCACAGATGGTGTAGTGGTTTAAGTGTGGGTGTTCTTTGTGTCTGTTTCATGTATGTTTTTGAAGTCCCCAGTGACACAATGCGGGAGGTGTCTTTTTAAATAAAAAAAAAAACAATAACAAAAGAAATATATAATCAAAGAAATATATAATCATTTCATTCGTCTTCGGTACTCGCGTTAGGACGTCACGTTAATAGTTTGCTCCGCACTTATAAATTCAGTGAACCAGTTAAATACAACTTTTAGACAAATATACTACAATACTGTGAAAGACAAGCAAGTGATGTATACAGTGTCGAAAACTTTATCTTGTTTTTTCATCATATAACAAAGTTCTAACTAAAAACATTTTACAAAAATCAAAATTTTGATCCATTATCCCTGACCTACGACAACCCGCGCATCGCTTGTTACATCGTTTTTGCGGACACCTGCACATCGCCGCGCTCGGCTGCTGTTCCTGGAATTTCGATTACCTACGCTTAGTGTGTGTGTGTTCGGTGTCCATACAGCGCTGTATTGCTACGCGGAAAGTGCCGTCTAATATCGCAACAATAACAAACAGCGCTTTATTGCTTTAGAACACCAAGATGCCTACGAATTGTAAAGCTTGCGGTAAGAGTATAAAAGCAAATAATCTTATGGACTGTTCCAAGTGTAAATGCCATTATGATCTGCAATGCATAAATATAAGTTTAGAAGCTTACCAGAAATTTACTTCTAACTTCAAGCTAACTTGGTTATGCCCCACCTGTGTATGTTTACTGCCGAAACGTGGAAATACCACCACTCCAGCTCACAACTCGATCTTAAATTCCGATGACCAGGGTGATAACGTTAACACAGTACGTGGCTCTAAAATTAAATCTACCACCAACCCTGATTGTACACTAAGTGAATTAGTGCAAGAAATCCGTGAGCTTAGACTTGAAGTAAAAGAATTAAAGCAGAAAAACTACGACATCAGTTTATTAAGACAAGACGTACAGGAACTAAAAGAACAACTTGCAAGCCTTCCAAAGGACATGGCCAATTTATACAAGGCCCTCTGCCTAGCTTGTAAAAGTTCATGTACATTAACGAAATTTTGCTTTTTGGAATTAAATTTGTCCTAAAAAATATAATGTATATGTTACATATTCCATGTACTTCAGATTTTTTAGATATTTACATAAAAGGATGTCATGTTTTAATCCTTCTTAAACTTAAAAGCAATGAGTTCATAGAAACTGTTTTGCTTTCATAAAAACTACAGGCGTTCGGAGCACTGAAAAGGTATTAAATGGATACATAATAAAAATAAATACGATATTATTTTTAAAGACGACCGTGGTAGTAAGTGCGTTTGAATTAAGTGGCCCTAGTTCGGTTTCCAGTCGGTAAAACATGCTTAAGTTTATCCTGAAAAAGTATTTTTTAACGAGGATGCGATAACTAAGAAATATAATTATTAAATACTTCAAGATTATTTTAAGTTCAGATTTTAGATTAAGGTGCGCTGAAGGACTGAGTGGATGCTTAATGGATTGGTAATGGGTGAAATAAAAAAATATAGTTTTTATATAAAATGTTTTATTATGACATTTAATATTCAATCATTCGAACTAAAATATTATCTAAAAATGATGCTGGTGGAGTAATATTGGTCTGATGTCTAGCCCAACCTAGGTACCAGATCATTGTCATTACATGACAACAACATCCTACGGTCCTGTTGCCAACTAAGCAGCTGCAATAATAACCTAAAATAGAATCTAGTGAATAGTTGTTACTGGGCTCAGTATCAAACAGAATATATGTATAATATATCCTTTGACTTATATGCCTGGACTTTATACGCCCCCTTAATAAATAAGGAGTGTTCCCGCCTACCTGTAGAACCATTTCTTGAGAATGATCCAGTTCTGGGCACACTTCCACCTCGTAAACCCCATTTGCTCTTATATGTTCACCATAATATGATCGTGCCTGTTTTACTTGGTACGGACCTAATGCGATTAACAACAACTGATCATACGAAAATATTGGAAATCTTTCCAGTTGCGGTAGATTACCATCAATTCTTCTAAACATAACTCTGCGTCTGTTTAAATTATAATCATTTACAAACTGCCCTAGATGATTTGGTTCATCCATGAACCGCAATGCTCTTTGAATAATTTGCTCACAGTAAGGATTGTCTATGAGAACAGGGTGGAATTTATTCAAAATAGCAGCTGCTATCTTAAAATCAATCATTAAATGGGTAGCAGCTTTATTAAAATACCGTTGCCTAAACAGTTTAAAATCTCGTTTGAATCTGCCGTTAACAACTTCAACGACCCATCTACAAAGTGTTACACGTCTACTTTTGTTAGCTTGAGAATAAGTTAGTTGAGTTTGGCCTTCATCAAGTGA